CCCCCCCCCCCCCCCCCCCCCCGCTGATCGAGTCTATTCGTGATTGAAAGGCCATGGCCACGCTTAAATCTTCTGCTTTTTTTTTGCTTTACCCCCTCCCCAATGGTTACATAACAAATTTAAATTCAAATTTCAAACCCCTTATACTCTCTTTTCTCTTCTATTAAAACCATCTAATCTTTATATTTTTTTAACACGCTCCATTCTTATTTCTTTATCTCTCTTCTATTATACTCAAAAGATGAACAATTTTGCTCTTTCTTCCGATTCGTCTAGTGATGATGAAATATATGCAGGAGTCCAAAATGGAAAAAAAGAAATACTCCCTCCGTTCCAAATTAAATTGCATGTTTACTATTTACATGATCAAATGTCATTCACTCGTTTTCTCTATTTTTGTAAGTCATTTGATAAAATAAAATAATTATGTCACCACTAGTTTTGTAAATCTTTTGATATAAAATGATTTGAATATAGTTTCAGTCAAATATTGTAAACCGAAATAGGCATTATAGATTGAGACGGAGGAAGTAAAATAGAATAAACCCGAAATTAAATTTTAATTATATATATGACAATGCCCGAAAATGACAGTGGCATCGGGGTGTCACCGTACTCCAGTGTCACTAGAACCCCACCGTTGTAAGAAAATTGGTTATTATCTACCACTGCAATGTGTATTAGCTCCAGTATTCGCTAGTGCAGTCATTTTTATAATTAATACTCCCTCCGTCCTAAAACTTTCTTCCCATTGCGCAAAATGAAGAAAAATCTTAAGTTTTTTCAATTTATTTTGTTTAAATATTGAAATAGAAATAAAAAATAAAACATATATGCCATGAAAAAACACAAGTAAATATAAATTTCCGTGAAGTTGGAAGAGTGCTCTGGGAAGAAAGTTTTAGGACGGAGGGAGTAATAGTGTTTTAATTATGTTATTTGAATTATTTGAACATTAGAGATAAAATTTATAATTTTTTTTATCATTTTCTTATTGTGCAATAGTGTTCTCGAACTCTCGTAATGTACCCTTGCAATCCGCTTGTGAGGTTCTGACTCCGTCGTTATTGACATCGCTCCTTTGAGAGTGGGTCTGCCACTGCATACATTACAAAAAAAGGTGGAACGCCCAACCCTGCGCACCGCCAAACCCCGGCCCAATAGGATTGTGGGTGGGGTAAATCATGGTATAATCTCAATCTGGTATTTAGAGAGGCTGCCCCGTGTCCAATGGGCACAAGGATCTCAATCATGGGCTCATGGTATTAGTGTTAGAATATAAGAAACATTTCTTGGACCGCAACGACAAATTTGAGCTTTTGGTTGAGTTGGTTTCTTGATATGGTATCGGAGCCTTGTTGGCTAAGAGGTCACGGGTTCGACACTCAACGCCGCCCAGTTTAAAAAAAAATTAAGGTTTCACGTACAAGGCTAAAAAAACTACGCCTACACGTGAGGGGGCGTGTTAGAATATAAGAAATATTTTTTGGTCCAGAACCGTAGGGCACACTCCATACACTACAAAGCTCTACATCCCAGGGTCCGTCCACACAGTTTTGGGGCCATGTGTGAACTTAAAAAAAAGGTTGCTACAGAAAATCATATTTATATACTCCCTCTGTCCTAATTTAAATTGTCTATTTGCCTTTTTTCTCCGTCCCAAAATAAGTTGCTTGTTAGTTGTTATCGTAAACTTTTAAAAATAAAATACCCAAACTAACATTAAAATAAGTCACTCTTCTTCACCTTATCTTCTAAATCATAGTCACTCCTTCTAAAAAGTAATGACAATTTCGAAAAATTAATTCTATCTTTTCTTTTCCTTAAATATGCCCAAAAGTTAAAACAGTCGATTTAAAACGGGATGGAGGGAGTAATAAATTGAAACTTAAACATATAAATATTCGTAATTTATGAATGACCCAATTTAATTTTTAGTATGAAAAATTGACTGAAGAGTGTCATTGTCTAAACTTTTTACACTGCCAAGCAGTTTATTACGGAGTAACATATAACTGAATTGATAGAAATTACATTTAAATTACATTGTGTTTGGAAAACAATTTTTTGAATAGCTTTTGGCATATTTGATTGACTTTGGCTTGTTTGACTTATTGAACCGCCAAAAATATTGTCTGGCTAATGACTTTTTCACATGATTTTTTGATCCGAAATGCCAAAATCCGAAAAGCCAAGGGTAGTAGCATACATATATATATATATATACATACATATTAGGCGTCCAATACTTTTAGGGGATCAATCCGAAATGCCAACAACTGACATCCAACATCTAAACAAGACCGAAACCAAATTTTGGCGTCCAATACTTTTAGGGGTAATTTACCTAAATAGGACTAAAACATAATGGCTTTTTCAATATAGGACCATATTTTTTTATTTCCCAATGTAGGACAATTGGTCATTATCTATTAGTCATTATTTAACTAAATGTCCAGCATCACTTGGACAATATTCTTCTCACTAGTCATTATTAAGTCCTTTTTAGAGAATAAAAAAATTTAAGTACTACATTAGGAAATGATTTATGTTTTAGTGTTATTCAGTGCAAATTTCACTACTTTTAGAGGCACCTGGAGAAATGTGCAATGGCACCTATCAAACCCCCAAAGGACCTCCTCTAGCTTGCATTCATGATACCTACTACTCCCTCTAATCCTAAAAATCTTTCCTATTTTGACTTTTTTTGACAAATAATGACACTCTTTGACTTTAAATTGTGAGAAAAGTATATTTAATTATAATATAAATTCAATATAATTGAATTTATTTTAGAATAAAATTTTGGTATATCAAATTTTTGTATCATTTATTTATTTAGATTATGTTTAATTTATGATCAAAGAGTATCACATACTGTTTGACTAAAAAAAGTTAAAACATGAAGGTTTCTAGGATAAGAGGGAGTAATAATAATTAATAATAATAAGTTAATAACAATATGATGGTGATGATAATAATAATAATATCAATGGTCCATTCGTTCTAAAATGTTTTATACTTTACGCAAAACGAAATGAATTTTTAAGATTTTTTCACTTAATTTCATTTTAATATTGGCATAGAAATTAAAATAAAACTTACATATTTAAAAACAACATCAAAAGTTCTACAAAATAATTCAAGATTGACCAAAAATTATTGTATCAAATAATAAATCAAAATGCACAAATAAACATAAAATTTCTTTAGTCCTGAATAGTGAAGAGTACAATTTTTTTAGACGGAATAATAATAATAATAATAATAATAATAATAATAATAATAATAATAATAATAATAATAATAATAATAATAATAATAATAATAATAATAATAATAATAATAATAATAATAACAACAACAATAATAATAATTGCATGAGTAACAATAAAAACTTCGTATAAACGAATCAAATGACATCTATATACCAAAATAAGGTTTATAATTTATGTCAAAATATGTCAACAACATTAACATTAAAAAACAATTATGAAATATCGATGTACTATGTAATATTCCCTCCGTTCTTTAAAACCATTCCCATTTTGACTTTGAGCAAAAATAAAGAGAGTCTAATTTTGGTTGACTTTCCAATTTTGCCCCTGATGTGATGGGTAAAAGTAAGATGTGATAGTTTTGTTATTAGGCCACTGGGTATACTCCTCACGCCCGCCGGCGTTAAGGGGCGTTTAACGCCCCGGGGGCGTGAAACACCGCCCCCCTCCGGCGTTAACGAGGCGTGAGTATACCTGCGTCATTCGTTTGACGCGGCATTGCTTCGTTTTTTCAACCGCTCCCCCTCCTTTTCCAACGGCTATATAGCCGTTACCCCCCTCCCCAATAAAAAAATCTAAATTAAAAAAAAACCTATAAAATCCCATTTCTCATACATCTCTCTCACACATCTCTCTCACACATCTCTCTTTATATTCTCTCTAAAATATTTATTATTTATTATAAATATTTATAAAATATATTTTAAAAATGGGTTCATCTTCCGACGATGAAAGAAGAGCTTTCTTTTTTCGTTGTTTCGCGACGAATTGTATTCAATGGTGGGAAGATGGCCAAGAAGAAGCTGAATCCTCCCGACGACGGACCCGACGCCAACGTCTAAACCGGGATCGAGTGGCCGCCCACGCTTCACTTCTAAACGACTACTTTAATAATCCGTGTGTTTATACACTGGAGGATTTTAGTAATCGTTTTCGGATGAGTCGTCCTCTCTTCTTACGCATACTCGCCGATGTTGAACGCGAGGTTCCTTGGTTCACCCAATGGTTTGATGCGAGAGGCCGACGCGAGTTTAGTAGCGCCCAGAAGTCAAAAGCTATTATTCAAATTTATCATAAAATATATTTACACAAGCCTACAACGAGCGACATCCAGCAGTTTCAGGCATGGCATGCCGCTAAACACGGCTTTGTCGGCATGCTTGGGAGTATTGATTGCACGCATTGGGAATGGAAAAATTGTCCCACTGCGTGGCACGGTCAATTCTCCCGGGGAGATCATCCCAAGCCTACCATCATGCTCGAAGCTGTTGCTTCGAATGACTTGTGGATATGACATGTTTTTTTCGGTGTTGCGGGCTCGAACAACGACATCAACGTTCTCGATCAATCGCCTGTTTTTTACGATTGGGTTAATGAGACCGCACCGGACTCCTCTTTTGAGCTTAGAGGGGCGCTTTACAAGCGTGGATATTATTTGGCCGATGGAATATATCCAGATTATTTCCACAATTGAAAGAGCTGTTGGGGTCTTGAAGAGTAAATGGCACATTCTAGATCGTCCGTCGAAATGTTATTCTCAAACAAAAATGAGGAATATCATGTACGCATGTATTACTCTTCATAATATGATCATAGAGGATAACGGGACTGCGATTTGTCAATACAACCCAGACGAGGAGGTGCCTATGTACGAAGAAATCACCGAAGAAAAGAAACGACGCAACCGCCAAGAAATTTAAAGCCGAGAGATTCACAATGCACTAACGGTGGATTTGATTGAACATATCTTTAGTCGTTCGAATAATTAGTGATTTCTTTGTACTGTTGTTTTTTTATGTAATACTTTTTTAATGAATGTAATTTTTTTTCTGAATGTTTTTTTTATGAATGTAAATTTTTTTTTAATGAATGTAATTTTTTTAATGCACTAGTCTCATTGCGATTAATTTAAATAATAAATTAATTTAAATTTATTAATTTAAATTTAGAAGATGTATATTTAAAAATGTAAAGTGAAGGTTTGAAGCCCCAGTTTGAAGCCCTAGGGCTTCAAAACCATTTCCAGTGAATTTTTGGTGTAAGTTAAAGCTGACGTGGCAGAGAGAGAAAGTTTGAAGCCCCGGGGCTTCATACGTATTTCCAGTGCTCTTAGTGAAAAAGTATGATGTGATAGGTAGGATAGGAAAAAAGTAGGGGTAAAAGTGGTTTTTTAATAGAAAGTGGAAGTATTTTAGGGAATTGAAAAAAACGAAAGGGAAAGGGTTTTATGGAATGGAGGGAGTTTCTTGTTGTGATATTGTACACTGCCAACAATCTTATTTAACATGTCCTATCTTAATACTAGTATATATTTTAGTAGGTAGATTTTTTTTAATAAGAAATTGAGTATGAAATAACACCCATTGAATAAATTAAAAGAAAAAATAAAGTAAGTCATTACTAACTTGTCCTTTGACTACGTCAAATTCAGAGAAATTAAATTATTGGTACGTCCACAACTACATGATGCATACTAGTCTTTCGATCATGTGGACATATAGAAACAGATGAATCTTCGACGTTCCAAACTCAGGAAAACAACACGTCCCACGTCAACAAAAAAAAAGATAATAATTACGTTCATAAGCTCTTTAATTAGTTTAACTAATAACTGAGTGAAGTCAATCGTTATGTGGTTCGGCTGAAGTATCTTATGACCCAATTTAGTGACCTTAATTATGGCCTTACATATCATGCTAAATTCTATCATGATATATCTCGTTTGTCAATATGTCTGTGTAGATGTTCGTTCTTAATAACTGCTCGTGATGAGTTTTTAATTAGCCTAGTTGTCCGATCCCTATGAAAAACGGTATGTGACTCATTAAACTCGATTGTTCGTCTCGAAGGCCATATCGAGCGATATATAGTTTGCCCGTTTTTTTAATTTTGTAACGAAGGCAGAAAGTCACAATGGTTGGCTATTTAAGAACTACATGTGTCACACAAAGTTCTTATTTTGAGTTTTATGATATTTAAGAAAGAGATATTTTGTGTTGGCTTTCTCAAATTACACTTAATGTGATGTGTTAAAATAGAATGTGATAGAAAGATTATTAGCACATATGTATGATATGACATGTAAGATAAGAATTAATAGAGATAAAATTAAAGTTGTTTTCTAATAAAAGGAGAGAGATTGTGGAACACAACAAAAAAAGAGAAAGTTTGTGGGTCGGAGGGAGTATCATTTCTTAAAATTAATTATTAAAAAATTAAATATTTAAATACCTTTTTAAAATTATTGTATATTATGAGTTTAAGTTATTTATTTAAAAATAGTTGTAGCGCTTACAATAAGAAAAATATAAGATTGGTGGAATCTGATGTGGCACTGATGTTGAGGAGAGAGATAATATAGTAAGAATATAAAGGATATGTATACCCTCCACCCTAATGATAATTGGTTTGACACTTTCATTTTGAACCAAACTAAATTATTTGTTAATTAATACTCCGTATTTAATTACTTTGAAGGAGTAAAATTACTCAAACATTATACATTTCCAATTATCTATTTATTCTAAACTCCATCATATCCTTCCCATTTTTATCTTTGTTTTACGCCTTACTTTAATTAATTATTTTAAATCAACTCAATTTAAGTATAAATGCAAAATTTAAAAATAAATTTATACATTTGAAACTATAACAAAAGTTTCATAAAAAGTGTTGACGTTACTACGTACCGAGTATTTTAATTCACCTTCCACATTTTAAGACAGATTAAACAAACTTTAATACTCCCTCCGTCCTATAATGATCTTCTCGGTTCGCAAAACGAAGAAAAATCTCAAGTGTTTTCAATCTATTTTATTTAAATATTGGTATAGAAATAAAAAATAAAACATACATATTTAAAAACTACATCAAAAGTTCAACAAAACAAGTGGTGACAAAAATATTTTGTTTTATCATATACGCCATAAAAAAACACAAATAAATATAAATTCCTGTGAAGTTGGAATAGTGCTCTGGGAAGATCATTATAGGACGGAGAGAGTAATTAATTACTGAATACTTTTAATTTATATTGCATATTAAAACTCTGTAACGTACAATAGAATAAATTTTGGAAATTTTCAAAAGAAACTATTCCAAATAAGACTAAAGCATAGAGAAAATATAAAAATATGAATTTTATATTTTCATTCCCTAAATAAAAGTTCACATTGTGATAATGTGTCACTGTACATGTGCATTTTACGTAATTTTACATGGTCATGACTGGTAATGTTTGTTGGAATACATGTAACGGGACAACTTTGGACGTAAATTCGGTAGGGTCCACAAAATTATTTTTTCCAAATAATTATGGACGAATATTATTCTAAGTGAGACAAGTATTTCGATATATTATGCGCCAAAATTGGTGCTCGGGTGAATGGAAAATTAATACACAAAGTGGCTCACTTGGAAGGGGAAAAACCCACGTATCCCACATCGAATTTGGAACCCTTCAACTTCCTCCATTTATATGCTAGTCTTTAACAATATTGTAAAAGCAATTAATGGAGGGAGAACCATGGGAGCCCTCGCGCCCCATTGCCGCCGCCATCTGTCTGGCACGGCCTACTCCCTTATAAAATAAGGGCAAAATTAGAAAATAACACCAAAATTATTCATTTTAAGGGCGCGCCATTTTTGAAACAGGAAATGTTTTATGGGACGGAGGGAGTATTAACGAAAGAATTAAAAGCATATATGCATCTCTGCATTCATCTCTCTCTCTCTCTCTCTCACATTCCCGATCAGTTTCCGGCAAGTAACTCTTCGTCATTCTCATTCGCCGGCACAAGGTTCTACCGCTCTAGATCTTGGCGGTAGCGGTTTTATCCTGAGAGGGGACCGCTCAAGTAAGCCAGTGCGGGAGGCGGGCGATACTACCTTAAGGAAAGCTCCGACGGCGACTCCGCTTTCCTTAAGAATTTTTTCTTTGTTCGGCTCCACTGCTCCATCTTTGTTAGATTGTCCCCGGAAAGGCAGTTCGGTTGTTCCAAGTAAAGGCACTCTTCGTTCGCGCCTCCTGTCTGTTCGGTTTCTTCCGGTCACCGGCCACCTTCGGCTTCCATTAATTTTATTTATTTTTTCTTTTTTCTCGTTGTAAAATCCGAACGAATTATAAGTTTGGATTATTTTATTTTATACTCCCGTTGTAATAATTGCAACAATGTTAATGCATTTTAACTCATATTTCGGAAATAAAAACATGAAACTCTTATTTTGGTATATTTTTAATGTTTTTACTCCTACTTTAGTTTTTTTCCCAATTTTCAACAACATAAATCTAATGAATCACTTTTTACTACTCCGAAAAATACACTACATATTTTATTTAAATTATTTTTAGAGAGACGATATAAATATATTCCTTATTAAAAATTATAAAAAGCTAAAAGTACAAAAATTTTAAAGGAGAAGATTTTCCACATACGTAAGTCCCCTATGAAACATTTGAATGTTCAAAGTTTGGCACCCATATAAGAATGGCTACCCCTATTTATACCCATTCCTCTTATCCATTTTCCCTTACATTCAATATACATTACATTACATTAACCCTAAAAGAAAAATAATGGGACTCATATTCAAAACCCTTTCCATTGTCTCCCTCTCCCTAATCCTCCTCCCTCTCACTCATGCTGCCACCTTCTTCATAAAAAACAACTGCCCCTACACCGTGTGGGCAGCGTCCCTGCCCACAGGTGGCGGGCAGCAGATAAACACTGGCGGCACCTGGTCCCTGAACGTGGCGCCAGGCACCACCAGCGGCCGCATATGGGGCCGGACGGGATGCAACTTTAATGGCGCGGGGAACGGGCACTGCCAGACCGGCGACTGCGGCAACGTCCTGGCGTGCAGGCTCTCGGGGGCCCCCCCGACGACGCTCGCGGAGTTCTCCCTCAACCAGCCCAACAACTTGGACTTCTACGACCTCTCGGTGATCGACGGGTTCAATGTCCCGATGTCCCTCGCTCCGACGTCCGGTGGGTGCGCTTCCCTCCGGTGCCCCGCTGATAAGTGCTCCGACGCCTACCTCTTCCCGTCGGACAATTCTAAAACTCACAGCTGCCGTTCGGGGACAAACTACAACGTTGTTTTCTGCTGAAGAATTCAATATTGATAATAATAATAATAATAATAATGATAAATTGATAATAATGGCTATTAGTGAATGTAATAAGGCAATAAATGTCATTATCGATCGCCACATCCACCTCATGGACGGGGACGGGTGATATATATGATACACATACAAAGACTTCTCTATATATATAGTCCTCCCATCCAGAAAAAAATTATTATGTTTGATTAAAGTTATTTTTATATCATTTTATTTGTAAAAAGTATAGGATTAGAAAATAAGAATTATATATTTAAAAATTACATTAAAAAAAATTAATTAAACTAGAAACGAAATCCTCTCCCAACCACCTCTCGAAGCACTAGAAAAAGCCCTTGTGCCCTCTTGATGCACCTAAGCCCACTTCAGAGGTCTGCCCTGGCCACCTTGCGAGGCACTAAATCCTTTGTTTCCCAAGGCACCTAAGACCTCTCTTGATTTAAATATTTTGGGAGTATAATTCAAAATTCAATCAGATAAAACTCAAAGTTATCGAGAACAAGTATGAATCTGTTGTGAGTTTTCAAACTCTCTGTTTTCGACCAAGGAACAACGGGATCTATAGAGCTGCAGAAGGGAAGAGGCTGCGGTCGTGTTTCTCGTCCAAAATGCGCGTCCCTTTGCGCGAAATTTGAGAAAACTGTGGTGTTCCTTTCGAAAAATTTCCTTTAAGGAAATTCGAAAATTAAAAATTCAAATGAATTTTTAACATGGTACTTTGTCCAAAATAAAAAATTATCTCGACCTCAACGAGGGGTGCTCTCCTCTTGGACTCCACAAGTTAGAATTGAAGTTAGACTCGTGGGGCCTTTAATTTTTTCTTATTAAACTTTGGACCAACAATAACTCTAAAAATGTACTCTGTATTTGTAAAAATTATTAAAAAGTACTCCGTATTAATTTACTTCCGTCCTTAAATATTCATGTAATTTGACTTTCATAAGACAATCTTTAATCAAATAAATAAATATTCAAAAATTACTCCATATTCTATTACATTAATATGTAACACAAATCGAATGGAATAATTGATAATTAAAACTTTATCAATTTGACTCAAAAAAATTAAACAAAACAAACACTCTATAAATAGAAACGATACTAATAATAATAATCATATATTTAATTGAGTCTATATTATTACTACTTTTGTCGCAGTGTATTTGTCCAGTTTAACTTTTTTGAGTCAAATTGGATAAACTTTGAACTCCAATTACTCTCAATTTGTATTGCATATTAGCATAATGAAACACAATTTCATAAGTTCTCAATACAAAAAATCCAATAAAGTCAATTTTGTGTTAAAATACATTACGATTTTTATTTAATTAAAGCTCAAAATTTGTCTAGTTTGACTCAAAAAAGTCAAAGTGGACAAATACACTGAAACGGAGAAGATATTTCCTCTGTCCCACAAATTAAATGACTTCGATACTATCCATATGGTTGAACTTTATTTGCTTTATCGCGTACCAAAAGACAGTTAAAAAAAAGAACAGAAAGAGTAAGAAAAAAGAGAACTAAACTGAACTCCAGCAAGTAAATGAATGTGAGGAAAAAGGATCCAAAATGTTATTCTAAGCCTCATCAATAAAATACAACAGATCCATAGAATTCCCAACATGTATGAAGAGCAGGGACTAAAAAGCAATGGGTGTGGGGGAGGATGGATTAGTTCCCAAATCCCAAGAAAAACAATAATTTTACACCTTTTTTTAATAAAAAAAAATCATTCTATGGATATATAGATTTTGTGTGTGACAACCAAATGAGGATTTTAAGCTGTTGTAGCATGTGAAATCAGGGAGACTAATAATGCACAGCACCCACCCCAAGAGTCAGAAGAATTTCTCATCAAACCTTATAATAATAGTAGACCAGTTCAGAATTTGATGTGATGAGGTTTGCCAGGACAGTGTTTTTACCCCCCAAAAAAAACACAAACCACTTCAGTAGAACGTTGCCGCTTCGACCGACCGACCATTTCTAGGATGCTCCCTCTGTACTAACCTACGAAGACGACAGCATTTTACGTGTGATTCTCCTGGAGGTGCCTTTTGTTGTCCCTTTCTGAATGCCCGACGAGTTTGCCGCTCCTACTTCTGTCCTCCGGGAAGTCGTGGTGTGAGTGATTGTGTGTTGCTGGGTGTTCGTGACGATGCTTTCCCTCTGCGGGAGGGGGACTTGCCTTCCGCTTACGGTTAACCGACTTGGGCGAATGGTGGGCCCCCTTGTCGGCAGCATCCCCAAAAGGTCCCAATTCCCCTTCTTCCACATTATTGGGTGCCGCCTCCCCACCTTTCGTCATCATTCCTTGGTCGTGCTCTGCCCCGTTTGAAGACTTGGACCAACTTTGTCTTCTTTCCCATTTCCCCTTCTCACCATCATCCGAGGCGGCTATCTCTATCCCGTCCTCCAATTCTCTTTCGATGAGGTCATCGTCGTCCAGAACATCGACCTTCCTAGCTGCGTCCCCACGGGACTTCCGGCTTCTCTCGAGTGCTGCTTTGACTTTGTCTTTGTCTATCTTCTTGATGACCTCTTGTGGAGACCGGCCAACTGCAGCCCCTTCCTTGTGGTGGGGTTCCAGGGCCCGACCAACATGCAGCTTGTCCTTCATTTGTTCTATTCTCCCACAATTTCCTTCAACTAGCTCATCTTCCCCATTCCCATGGCAAGGCAACGACAGTCCTCTTTCACGGTTCTGCTGATCGCTGATCTCACCGACATCACTGAATCGGTCTGAAATGCTCTTTTCAGAACTTGCGTAGTCATTGCTACGGTTTTGACTGCCCCTACCATGATTATCGGCATGCGAATGATCGGGAATTGGCTTTTGAGAGGATGAGGCTTTGGAGATCCCTGACTTCGATGATGTGGCAGCACCGCCACCATGAGAATTGTTGTTCAGGATCTGGTCTTCATCAGCACAGGAAACATTCGATGGTCTCTGAGTACCCGCAACAGCAGGGCTTTCTTCTGCTTCATTGGCATTAGAAGGTGGTGCTTTGTTCTGTTCATATAGTTCAAGCATTTGGTTGCTTACCTCTGCAAGAAAGTTTAAGAAACAGCATCATTACAAATGTCCTTAATTCCTTTTTATTATTTTAAAAAGAAAACAAAACAAAATCTCTTTGCAAGAGAACAATAACAACAGAACCAGTAAATCCCCACAAAGCAAGGGGTTTGAGGAAGGCGTGCACCCTTACCTTACCCCAAGCTGAAAGGTGGAGAGGATGTTCCCAAGAGAAACTCGGCTCAAAACACAGGAGTACAACAAAGGGAAGTAGCACAAACAAAGATAAAATAAATAAAATCAAACACACATGCAAAAACTACATACTCAAGCACAACAGCACACGTGCAGAAACTACAAACAAGGCCCAGAGGTCTTTACCCTACCAACCTAATCCTAGATCTCTAGACGCTCTTATCTAAGGTCATACCCTCAGAAGGATATTAAAGTCGTAAGTCATGTCTAATCACTTCCGTCCAACTTTTCTTAGCTCTACCCCTACCCCTCCTTGCGCCCTCTACTTCAAGCCCTTCACACCTCCTCACTGGGGCATCCATACTTCCCAATACATGCCCAACCATCACAAATTAGCTCTCTGCATTTTAATCTCCACAGAGATCACTCCAACCATCCTAGAGTATCCTCATTCGGGATCTTATGCATCCTTTTATGACCACACATCCACCTCTCCACCTCAGTTCTCACACTCGTAGCTTATGAACGTGAGTATTCTTCATTGCCCAACAAAAAGAACACAAACACTCCGTATATTAATAAAGAAAAATGCATGTGTGCACAATAATCCATTTTAAGAATGAGGGCCACAAACCTAGTAAATAAGAGTGGTCAGTTCATTTAATACCACAAAATGTGTATCTATAAGATTGAATGTATATCCAAAGCAAAGCACCAACCCACCCTCCAATTGACGTGGGGTGACATCAAACTCCTGCCACCAAACCTTCTCACCGTCATGTGGAAGCTTAACTTTGAGAAACTTCGCAGCAAGAAAAATGGCACCTGCTGCAATGTGATGGGGCTTAAATTGCAAGCATAAAGATGTCCGAAGCCTGCACGTGGCTTTCCGAGGTCATCAAAAGAGATAAGGAAGGATCCCATTGGATCAATTCCATACACAACAAAACCACAATAAAGCAATCCTACCCATCATTAACAAAATTCCAAGCAACTTGAGCAAGTGCATTTTGGGCAACCTTGAATTTTTTAATAGCCTCAACAAGGGGTTTATATGGATGATGCACATTAAGGTCAAAACCAAGTGTTGCAAGAACTACCCTCTCCCCCATCAAAATCAGTTCCTTTTGTTGTTCATAGACTTCCTGCATTGAAATGTCAAAATATATTAGGTAGCTGTGATATGAAAACATCATAGACAACCACCCAAATATTTGTCACCATAGAACAAAGACCGAGAAAGAAGAAGAAGAAGATACAAATATGAAAATGATTGTGACAGTGGACCAGAATAGTATAAGCATTGACACAGTAAGCAATATTATGTTACGTCAATACCCTTTGCTTAATCCTTTGTATTGCTGCCGGGTCCTTCTTATGAATAATCTCATACGAGACAAGTATCACATCTTTCAAGGGTCGAGGTGTTTCTTCAACCTTTCCAGCAAGGAACATACATACAGTTGCAATATTCTGCAAATTATGTAAATAAATTAGGCACTCAAGTTTTCATGCCAGATTATAAACAGCTTTGCCTATAAGACAGTCAGATAAAATTTCCTCGTGGAAAAGTTTAGAGACTTATGAACGCAGAACAGCAAAGTGGCAATCACGCAACAAGAATTCCACAAGACTATAAGGCATTCCTGAATGATACATCTAGGTCGTCAAGAAAATAATAGCACGTATCGATGATAACCAACAACAAAAATTGCTCTTTTCCATTTCTTGCTCATTTAAGGGGTGGCAAATGGTCAGGATACCCTACACACACCATTGCACCCAACTAAATATGGCATCAACTAACACTCTATATCTAGGCTTTTAGTTTTTAACCTAGGACATTAATTAAAATTACATGTTAAACAATTTAAATAAAAATATTCACGTAATCTTATATTGCATGTGGTGCTTGAGCCCGGGGTGGGGGGTCTTTGGAAACAGCCTTTCTACTTTCAAGTAGGGGTAAAGTCTGCATACACACATCCTCCCAGACCCTACTATTGTGGGATTCAACTAGGTTACTGTTGTTGTATTTAATCTTATATTGCCTATAATATACTCCATCCATCCCTATTTGATATTTGTGTTGTGTTTGGCACAGAGTTTAATGAAAGTGATATTGTGGCTGAGATTTTTGCAAATGAGAAAGAAATAGCATGAACCACGCAATTCTTTCTTTAAAAGAGAAGGGGGAAATCAATTGGGGATGCCCCGAAAACGAAAGATGGAAGATGAGAAAGGACATTAGCAGTATTTAATATTTTAAAATGGAATTCAGCCACTAGTTTTTAATGCTTCTTCCATCCCGTAAAAAGGTTCCACGTTTGAATTGACACGAAAATTAATATGGGCCACAAGACTTTTCTGTAAGGGGAAAGTAGAACTTTTTTTGGGTCGGATGAACTAAAACGTGAAACCTTTTAATGGGTTGGATCGACATGCACTACCAATCTTGAAAGGAAAAGACCATATCAATCATGCACTAACTAAACCCTTTTGGTCAATCACTTATCATCTTTCTAATCCTACTCTGCCTTCCGATGAAAAATCACAAATCCACTGTGGCACATTATAATTATAAATTAGAAAGAAAAAAATATCATTATTGCAAAATTATAGTAATTTGATTAATAAAAGAGAAAACCATCTGACCAAATAGCAGCAAGCAAAGCATCATAAGCTGTCTCCGCCTACATTTCATAATCTTTTAGGTCGCTTGTTGATTTGTTATATGTGTGTAGATAGACACATACTGACATACATGTATGTATACACGCACAATCTAAAACTATACTAGTAGAAATGTCTTTATAGTTGATCCTGGCATCCATGATAAACCATGCATAAAGCCAATGGGAATCAAAATGAAAATAACAAAGAACAGATTACATGTTTCCCTGATACATAACGAACAACATCAACATCATCTATCCATCCAATTCACAACAAAAAAAGTCTCGGGGAAAACATGAAAATTAAACAGAAAACTATACATGGAGCATGGAATTAATGCATAGATATAAATAATGCAGGTGAATACTTGTGAATTGTTCACAAAGTTTGCACTTTATGTGTAGATATACATAATGCAGAAGAGTGTTGTTTGAACTTTCAACATATAAATGAAGTTTGTAATTGGAATTTTAACAAACACTGGGGTAAGATATAAGAGTATCACGTACCCTCCTATCATTTCTGGCATGAGATTGACGAAGAAAGAAACGGTGACAAAATATAATTGCAGTAGCAATGGTCACTTGAGGCCTGCAAGACAAAACATCCAACACCACAATTACATTCACAAGACATTTATCAAGCTTTGTGCATGCATATTATATCCTAGAAAACACAGTTTGCATGTTTGGTAAGTATATTACTCCCCCTGGTCCTACTAAAAAGAGATTTTTGCCAAGTTCCTCATTTTCGAGAAAATAAGGCCATGTTCTCCTCAATTTATTCTTATTACTTTTTCTTATTGAAATCAGATCACATTAGTTCAAATCAGATCAGGAATAGCTTTAAATATAACTCAAAATGATAGGCTGGTTCATCATCATGTTGTGAGCAAAACCCAAGAACATTTAATCGAGTGGACAAAGAAAAGAAACTGTTTGACCACTATGAGGATGAATTTGTTCTATATCATATACAATGAAGGATTGAATGATAGGCTTTTAATGTTGAAATAACTAGGTATCAATGAAAAAACGGGCAGGCAGGATAATGATTTGCCATTGTGTGATGAACGGATTGTGGGCAATAGTGATGGATATGTTTACAAGGGAATTTGGAAGAAACTCGAATTCAATCAGAAGAAATCTCAAGCAATAAAGTAAGTGGAGAAGAAGAAGAAAAGCACAAAATGCTTAGGATAAAAAGTAATAATAAATACTGGTACTGCCAATGGAGGAGATAATTATAAGGTTATAAGATATCATTATGAATACTCTTAAAAATTCTTAAGAAGCTACATCTTATATCTTAAAGAATTTTATAGCTCTAACTACAAAAACTAGAATTTTACTCTGTAATTTTTTTCACTAGTGGATTTATATTTTGTGCGAACTTTGAATTTTCAAATGTGATGTGTTCTGACACTTCTACAGAGCTTGCATGAATGCTTGGTATTTATGAATTTTTATGGTGCAGTTATGTGAAACAGTCTCTTTATAATTACTCTGTAATCTATACATTAGTGTATTTGGGCTTCAAAAGATCATTTAATCCATGTTTAGTTGGAGTTTAAGGTTCACGCTTAAAAGTGCTTTGAGGCTTAAGACCAGCTTCTCTAAGACAAACGCCCACAATAACAAAACTAGTTTGTATATATTGGGAATAGAAAATGAGAAATGCCAGAAGTTACAAACTTACACTTTAAGTCGCATGCCCAAATCTTGTAAGAAAGTGCAATATGATTTCCGCAAGTAAGTTTCCTTCTTCAAATCGATGCCATCTTGTCTAGAAGGAGAATTTTCTTCAATCTCTCTCCTGGAGAAATACCAACTGCCACCACCTTCCTCTATTGTTTCTTGACTTCCCGTATCATGCAATCCATGGTGTGAGGGATCAGCAGCCATCCGAAAAGCCAAAGATACTTCTAGATTCAGAATGAAATTACAAGTGAATGAAAAGAATGTCCGTACAAGCAAGATCAAACACTTGCATGAACATCATGTAACAATATCTAAGTTTTAAAACGGCAAGAGGCACACCAAGGCATTTTGGGTTTCCAAAACAGAGGCACGAGGTGCAAAATAGAGGCACTGCCTCACACAAAACCATAAACAACCAAATTAAATACCAGAAACTCCACATGAAACAATAGGACAGGCAAAACATAAACAAGATCAAATTTTAAAGTTCATAACCAAATAAAAGGTAAAAGAGTGTTTACAACAAAAATCCTTGTATAAAAATCTGAATATATTAGTGTCCACTGTCCAGGAGCAGTAACAATAACAAAACAGTGAAAAAGCTGACATATACATTACAACAACAGCAACAAACCCATTAAAATCCCGCAAAGCTGAATACCTTATACATAATCAACAATAATAACCCACAAAAGAAGCATAACTATTATCAAGGAATGAAATTATGAACTTTTTGTCAATACTCAACAAAAAATATATACATGTAGAACAGATGGTGAAAACAAAGAATTAACAGCACGCTATCGTCAAGGAAGAAGAAACTCTCAATTAGAGAGAAAAAAAGAAGCCGCTGAGAAGGAATAGAAGATGATAATGAAGAGAAGTATGAACAAGAAAGAGAGGAAAGGCAAGGAAATTACCTGTAACAATGTTCTGGACTTTCTGCTATGCAACTAAATTCTCTCGGACCTAAGTATATCTATATACTCCGCCCCTTTGTGCTTGATGCACATCCTTTTATTTGGAAATGTAACGAGAAAATGTTTGATGGTGTTCCACCAAAGATATTACGAGATCTCAAAGCTCGCTCCGTTCCTTTTCCAGCTTCTCTTCAATCCTGGCAGGTCCCTGCAGACAAGAAAGAGGGCCTGAACTCAAGATCATCTGGGCAAACGAATGTATCAAAATCGCTATAACAGGCCAGAACATGCTTTCATAATTCATTCATATCTTCCTAGAGAAAGTTATTAGGCAGATGCGAAACCAGGTAAGATTTTGACAAGATCTCCATTACTTGGTGTTCATTCTAACCTATAGTTAAGAATAGTGGTATTGCTTTTCATAGCATCCATAACAGTATTGCCTTCTCTATGTTAAGAATAGTGGTATTGCTTTTCATGAACTACTAGCAACTTGGCAAATGAGTGAACCAGCCAACATGGTTTTCAAAAAAAATCAATTTCCTCTGTCTTTCTCATGTAGTCATATGTATGAGCCTCCAAGTTATCTATAAGAGGATGCAGACATAATTCAAATTCAACAAGTTCAAGTAAGAAATCACATAAAAGAAATCAAATAGCTTGGCTTTTAAAAGTTCATCTTAGTAATTGACAATATTTGGAAGACTTTTCAAAGAGATCAATCCATGATCAGTGATCACTTAGAAAAATGTGCAGCTTCAGATTTCAAGAGGAGCTCCGGCTTAAACTAATTTTGTGATGTATTTTTGAGAAAAAAAATATAGATTTATTTCAATAATAATAAAACAAAAGAGTCGCATAATTATTTATTATTCATCTTAAAACATAATTGCTTTCAAATCTGGGATTTTCCTTTACCACCTCAAAATAGACAGAGGCAATTCATCACTTGATCTTTAATAATATTCCCCATATTTATATAAGGGTTATCAAGGTCTCAATTCATGGAAAATTAAATGTATATTCATCCTATATTACTTGTGGTTTCTATCCAAGTGTAAAAACAATTTCAGCACTCAAATTTTAAAATTCATGTAATATGTGTAAAGCCTCAAATTAGAACTATAGAAAAGGATGCAATAAAATTACTAACAAACCAGGAAATCAATTTAAAAGAGAGCACCGCTGCAAAAAAATGGAAAAAGAACACTTGAAAAAGTGATGAAATTAGTTAATACGGAGTACTTCGTTTTCTGTTTTCTTTACCTTACACAATAAATAGATAAATACTACGGAGTACGTAGTTTATTAGCATTACTAAGTATACAAAAAAACTATTTTCTGTCAAAAATTTAAAAAAATGAAGTCCACAGATCCTAACATAAAAATAAGACAATTATCATTGAAGCTACTTACCGTCATATATTTCAAAAAAAAGAATACCCGACATTCAACCTGAAATCAATAGGATTCTATCATAAAAATAAAAGATTGGGTAGTCTTAAAGCAGCCAACTTGAAGCGAATCAACACCGTTGCAAATGGATGCACAAGTTGAGAAAGAGTTAGAGAATGAATTATAACCGAACGGAAAAGAAATGCGTAAACCTGGAAAATGAACACAGCGCCGAGAAAGATCGGAAAAGGAAAAGGGGCCTCCGGTTTCCGGCGAAGATGCAGCAGCTCTCTCTGGACGATTGAAACCCCTAGGGTTCGCTCTAAGAAACAAAGAAGAGAAAAAAAATAATTTGGCTACTTTCCTTTTTCATTTTTGGCAAATCGGTCTTTCAAGTCTGATTCCTATTCGGATTCGATCACTGCATATCGGATTCAAGTGAATTTAGATTCAAACTGAAAACTATATGTCGATGCCCAATTAAGGGAGTGTTCCATTCAACTTATTTTTTTGTTTGTTATTTATTCTTATCAAAATTAGATTAGATTATATCTAATTGGATCAAACTAGATCAGATCAAATTCAATTTATTTAGATCAGGTCCAATCAAATCGGATCTAAACAATATTATTATTATTATTATTATTATTATTATTATTATTATTATTATTATTATTATTATTATAGTTATTATTATTCTTATTCTTGCTATCATTATTACTGTTATTGTCAATATTTCTATTATTATTGTTTCTATTATTAATATTATTATCATTAGTATTATTATTATTATTATTATAGTTATTATTATTGTTATTCTTATTACTATTATAATTATTACTATTAGTATTATTTTTATTTTTACTAGTATTATTAATATTTCTATTATTATTATTATAACTATTGTAGTAAGAATTTTAATTTTAATTTTAATCAAATTCGGATCAGACTAAATCAAATAAGAACTTCAAAAAATCAGATCAGATCAGACGAACGAAATGCATCCTTAGTCTTGTCACACTTGCATTTTTTCACTAAAAAATAATAAAATATTCAAATACATACTCTCTCCGTCCCAAAAAAAACTACACTACTTACTATTCAAAAACATTAGAAACTTTTTTTTATTTTTGTATTTTGATTGATTATTTGATAAAATTAAATATTTTTGTCATCTATTATTTTATAAAATTTTTCACATAGTTATTAAATATGTAATTTTTAATATTAAATTCTATACCAATCTTTAAAAACATGAACTAAAAAATTCTTGAAAGTTTGCTTTATTTTGCGTAAAATATAAAATATTTTGACGCAGAGGGAATATATTAAAGGTATTAGAATATTTTATTTCAAAATTTTAATTACTTTTTAAATATATATTTAACAATATTATAAATAATCTAAAAATAAATAAATACTTACAAATTTTGAAGAAAAAAAATTAAGATAACTATACAATATCATGAAAAATGTGTTCGAAAATACTTGTATAAGTTGATACATTAAAAATGTGTAATTAGAAAAAAACAACTTTATTTTTAACACATTATTTTTTATAGGAAAAATTGTCTCAAATAATTCCAATTTTTCGCGCTCTTCAAAAAATAATCACATTTTGGATCGCCGTTAAAAAGCTAACGGCCACTTAACAGAATTTTTTGAAAATATATGTTTTTCACAAATAAATGAAAGTGAGATTATTTTAAGCAAATTCTCTTTTTTCATTTTTTTAATTTCTAACTTTAAATTTTAATGTATTTTTTTAAAATCTTTTTATATAAACTTGTTTGTTTAACATAAATTTCCAAGATGTTAGAGTATATAAGCTTCACAAGAATCATTGGACTCAACTTGATTATGTGTGATTAAAGTGAACGAATAACTTCAAACCAAGTTGGTAAGTTAATTGAAGAATTTATTAACATACACCACTAATAAAAGATTCTTGAGGACTGTGCATCTCTTATTACATAGTTTGATATTAAAATTTAGAAAAATGCTAGGGGTACACCAGGGTACACCAAAAGGTGTACCCCAAATGTCCCTCACCCCCTCCTTGTCCACTAAAAAAGGCAAAAAATAATCAAAAAAAATAAGTATATAAAAATCAAATAAAAATGTGTGGAGGAAAAGAGGGTGGTGTACATTTGGGGTACATCTTTTGGTGTACCCCTAGCATTACTCTAAAATTTATATATTAATCATACTAATTACAAATTGAATAATATGATGAGTTTTTTTGGATTTCTCACCAAAAATAAAAAAAATAATCATAATAATGATAAGTTTGTTAAATATGGCAGATATATTTCTCATTCTATTTAGAATATTTTGTTTCCTTATTGACCTAGACTATACCTCTTCCCGTGTATGTATAAATACCCCCGTATATGATGAATAAAGTATTGAGTTCACAACACGTTATCAGCACGATACTCAAACCCTAATTTTTTTTCTCACCCTCTTCTGTTTCTCTCGCCGTTCTCCGTTGCGCATCACAGAAGTTCGCATCTGTTCTTCTTCGTTCCACGCTGCGACCAGATCTGCAATTCCCCAAAGCTCCAGCCGCTATAAAAGAAGCAGAGAAATCGTCTGACCACTTGCGGCTAAGGTTTCACCATCGAAAAAAATTTCTGGACTCTACTCTAAGTATCAATTTTTCGCTGCATAATACAGGTATTTTTCATTACATATTATATTTGAATAAGTTTTGGCATAAGTCTCTTTCGCATCCATATATACATATTTTGATTGATGCCTAATAGACCAACAAACAAAGTAAATAAATTGATATTCCATCTTTACACAGTTTTAATATTTGTTTTTTTTATGATAAAAAAAAATTATACAATCTGCATATTGATTTCCAAAGCTAGATAAGATTTGTGATGTAGGAATTGCAAATATATGAATCTGCATATTGATTATATTTTTTTTTAATTGACACTTATGTTGTTATATACATACTCAGTACTCCATATTCTTAAATACCACAAAGTATATCTTCTCTCATATTGATTGGTATGTTTCGTTTATCTCTTTGACCCATTTTTGTGTGGTTTAAGTACTTTAGAACTTCACTCAGCACATACTTTTGAAGTACAAAATATATAATTTTTTCAGTTTCAAAAGCAAATTTTAAATGTCATTTTTTAAGACGGACATTTTTTTACGGCATACTTTACTGATAGCAATTTTTTTTGCCACTGTTTTCACAAAATAGAGAGATCATGCCGGTTTTTTTTTTGAAACAAAATAAAATAAAATAAGTATTGAGTTTATGTCAGGTCTTTCTCTGCCCAGTTATTTTAATAATAATAATTTCGAACATATTTAGATTTGTTTGGGCAAATTTAGCATCGAGAAATTTGCATTTATAATTGGTCAAGTGTGCAAAGATGGGTAAACTGCTATTTTGCATTATTCAGTATTGTTGTTTGAAAAGTATTGAGTAATTTGAAAAGTGCATTTAGATTTGCCGTGTTGATGAAATTTTTGCATATGCTATAGCAATGGATGTACTCAATGAGAATGATTACGTACCTAAAACTCTAGAAGAGTGCATGCACAGAAATGATTGGCCAAAATGGAAAGAGGTCGTGAACGCTGAACTTGATTCACTTCACAAACGAAATGTTTTCGGACCTGTAGTCCGAACACCCATAGACGTCAAACCAGTGGGTTATAAATGGGTGTTTGCAATAAAAACAAATGAAAAGAATGAGATTATGCGATATAAGGCACGACTTGTAGCACAAGGGTTTTCCCAAATCCCAGGAGTTGATTATGAGGAAATGTACTCCCCTGTAGTGGATGCGATAACCCTTAGATTCTTAATCGGCCTCACAATCTCAGAAGGACTTTAAATGAAACTTATGGATGTTGTCACCACATACTTATATGGGACACTTGAGAATAACATCTACATGAAAATCCCTAAAGGATTCAAAATTCCAGAAGCATTAAAATCAGTACCTCGAGACATGTGTGCTATACAACTCAAAAGATCTTTATATGGTCTCAAGCAATCTGGTCGTATGTGGTACAATCGACTTAGCGAATATCTTAAAAAGCATGGCTTTACATCTGATGTAATTAGTCCATGTGTTTTCATAAAAAGATCACTCTCTAAATTCACTATTGTAGCAATTTATGTTGATGATATAAACATCATTGGATCTCCTGAAGAGATAGAAAAAACTGCTGAGCTTTTAAAGAGGGAATTTGAGATGAAAGATCTTGGCACAACAAAATTATGTCTTGGTTTACAATTCGAACATTTGCACAATGGCATATTCGTCCATCAGTCAAACTACATCCAGAAGATGTTAGTACGTTTTAATATGGACAAGGCACATCCGTTGAGCATACCCATGGTTGTCCGATCCTTAGATATACATAAAGATCCTTATCGCCCCCAAGAAGAGGGTGAAGAATTACTTGGTCCAGATGTACCATATTTAAGCGCGATCGGTGCACTCATGTATCTTGCGAATAATACAAGGCCTGATATTGCATTCTCAGTACATCTATTAGCAAGATTCAGTTCAAACCCAACACGTAGACATTGGAATGGGATAAAGCAAATATTTCGATATATTTGTGGGACACGAGATTTAGTTCTCTTCTACCAGAAAGATGAAAAGTCCCAACTGGTAGGGTATGCTGATGCTGGGTATCTATCAGATCCACACAATGCATGTTCTCAAACAGGTTATGTGTTTACATACGGTGGTACAGCAATTTCCTGGAAGTCAACAAAGCAAACTCAGATCAAGGAAGGTTATATCAAAGGAGACAGAACGAAGCACATCTCACCAAAGTTTTTCTCAACATCTGATCTGCAGAAAGAAGGAGAGATCAATGTTCTTCAAGTTAAATCAAGCGAAAATTTGGCAGACTTATTCACCAAATCTCTGCCTAGGCAATGTTTCGAGCAACTCATAAAGAAGATTGGACTGCGCAGGCTGAGAGAGATAAATTAGTTTGAGGGGAGTATAATTTTATTTTGATGGAAAATATTATACACGCTGTACTCTTTTTCTCTTAACTAAGTTTTGTCCCACTGGGTTTTCTTAGTAAGGTTTTTAATGAGGCAGCATAACTGATCCTGCAGTATCAGTTAATATAGGTCCTTAAGAACCTAGCAACATTATCCAGTAGCATAATGTTGTTAGTGTATAATGCATGATGATATATCTGAGGGAGAGTGTTAAATATGACAGATATATTTCTCATTCTATTTAGAATATTTTGTTTCCTTATTGACCTAGACTATACCTCTTCCCGTGTATGTATAAATCCCCCGTATATGATGAATAAAGTATTGAGTTCACAACAAAGTTAAGTATATCCACATTGTTCGTTGGAGTTTTAATGTTTGTGAGTATCAAGTTAAGGAAT